TCGGAAGGATCATAGTAGGCGACTAAGTTCAGAAGGATCGTAGTCGGCATGAGACCGGGGTCAGAAAGACCGTTGTCTGTTGATGGAGGTCGGAAGGACCATAGTAGGCGACAAAGGTTTGAAGGACCGTAGTCGGCAGGAGACTGAGGTCTGAAAGACCGCTATCTGGTGATGGAGGTTGGAAGGACCATAGTAGACGACGATGGTCTGAAGGACCTTAGTCGACATGAGACTGTGGTCAGAAAGACCGTTGTTTGTTGATGGAGGTCGGAAGAACCATAGTAGGCGACGAAGGTCTGAAGGATCGTAGTCGGCAAGAGATTGAGGTCTGAAAGATCGTTGTCTTATGATGAAGGTCAGCAGTATTCTGAGAGAACTATGGGCATCAAGTGGTGGCCTGGTGGAGCTCAATGCCTCAAGTAGTGGTCCGGCGGAAGTCTGGGCCTCAAGTGATGTTCTGGTGGAGCACACGGCCTCAAGTGGTAGTCCGACGGAGGTGATGGCATCAAGTGGTGGTCCGGCGGAGCAATGACGTCAAGCGGTGGTCCGGTGGAGGTGAGGGCCTCAAGTGGTGGTCCCACGGAGCAACGGCGTCAGGCGGTGGTCCGGGGGAGGTAAGGGCCTCTGACGAAGGTGAGGGCCTCTGGCGAAGGTGAGGGCCTCTAGCGAAGGTGAGGGCCTCTAACGAAGGTGAGGGCCTCTAGCGAAGGTGAGAGCCTTTAACGAATGTGAGGGCCTCTAGCGAAGGTGAAGGCCTCTAGCGAAGGTGAGGGCCTCTGGTGAAGGTGAGGGCCTCTAGCGAAGGTGAGGGCCTCTGACGAAGGTGAGGGCCTCTGGCGAAGGTGAGGGCCTCTGGCGAAGGTGAGGGCCTCTAATGAAGGTGATTTCCTCTAGCGAAGGTGAGGGCATTTGACGAAGGTGAGGGCCTCTAGCGAAGGTGAGGGCCTCTGGCGAAGGTAAGGGCCTATGGCAAAGGTGAGGGCCTCTAGAGAATGTGAGGGCCTCTCGCGAAGTTGAGGGCCTCTAGCGAAGGTGAGAGCCTCAGGTGGTGGTCCGGCGAAGCTCCGGCGGTGGTCCGACGAGGATCCGGTGGTGGTCCGGCGAGGATGAAGGCCTCAGGTGGTGGTCCGGCGAGGCTCCTGCGGTGGTCCGACGAGGTTCCGGCGCTGGTCGAGGAGGAGCTTCTTCCTTCTCTTCTTCCCTCTCTTCTCTTCTTCTCTTCTTGCTTGGATCCCTTTTCTAGAGGAATGAGGGGTCTATTTATAGATTTTCTAGAGTGGCATGGCCTATAAATAGGTGAGAGATCAAGGGTAAATGAGGAGTGGTTGGATGGACGGCCGATATTGAATCCCTTGGTCATGCACCGTTCGTCAGACATTTGAAGGACTTAATGATGTCGGAATTCGGCGATCTTGGGCTCGTTGGATGTGTCTCGTCGAGTCGCTCTATTCGACTAGAAGCAAGTAATTTTTGGAAATCGTTTGGTAACCTAAATTGTGTTTTGAACCTTCCAACAGCGCTTCGGGTCCTTGATTTTGGCTCATTTGGGCTCGGATTGAGTCGAATTTGGTGTCGTTGGGTTCGTATTTCCGAGGCGCTCAGCTCGACTATAAGTTTGCTGAAATCGGAGTTCGAATGCTCCCAATTTTAATTTCGTAAGTTTCCAATTTAATTTTGCATCGAGATTCATGCCCTATCAAGATAATTTTTGGAGGACGTATCAATAATGATATAAGTATTATATATGCAAATGTAAATATACTCGTAACCAAAAATAAAAGTGATCACAAGGAAACCCTAATTAAGAAGCTTAAAAGCTTTTTCTTATCCTCTATGCTATTTTTGGCAATAGATTCATTTGAAATATTCTCCTCCTATAATTTCCGTTTAGACCCTCTAAATAGTTGTAATTTGCACAAACTGTGACAATGAAAACAACATATGACCTAAAGATCATTGCTCTCATTCCATAACTTCCTGTCTGAAATAATGAAAATAAATTATGATCAAGATATAAAAGGCTTAAATACATCAAATAAATACTGAAAATTATTAAATTTATAAATAGAAATAAAAATTAATATCGTCAATTAATTTTGTCTTACAAAAAAATTTCAATAGATTTTATTACTTTCTCTTTTATTTTGGAGTGGAATTTTTATTAAGAAATCAATGCAAATATATTTGGGTTTGAGTCTAGATTTTTCTCTTTTAAATCTAATGTAATTTGTTGTTATTGAGTTGTGAAAGTCTTTAAAAGTCCGGCATTTCAATATATGATTGCGGCCTTATGGGGCTCCACTGCACACACAAGCCATTCATTCTATAGCCTTTAAGGCTTTGTTTGGGACAACTTTCATATTGATTTTAAATTTTTGAAAAAGAAAATTTTTGTATTAAAAAGCTGCTTTAGAAAACAGTAAGAAAGATATCTCAAACGAAAATATCCGTAATGTTAGGAGGCTATATTGATTTCAATCGAAACTGATAATAAACTCATTAATAGAGATTTAACAAATTTATTACGCCTCATAACTTTAATGAAAATTAAATCATTCTATTTATTATGCCTCATAAGCTAAATCAATCTATTTAGTTTTTTTTTTTTCGGGTGTCTATTTAGTTGTGAAGTTGATGTGAAGAAAATAATTTTGTCATTATAATTGCAGAAAAATACTTTTTGCTGTAATAGTTTTTTAAAAAATTATGAAAAATCAGAAAAAAAAATAGTAGCGAAATAAATTTCTAGTTTTAAAAATTATGAGAGAACAACAAAAAATTTTAAAAAATTATGAGAAATCAACAATAAAGAATATTAAAACCTTAAGCTGGAGCAGTGCTTTGGAAAACAAGCTAATCTCTTTCATTGCACTCTCCTCTGCTCTTTTTCTGCAACTTTAGGCCTACCATTAAAGAGATCATTAAATAGGAAGACCAAACTGAATGAGGAATAATGCTATACTATTCCAGTCATAGTACGAAAAAAAATTTTCTTGTTTTTTTTTTTTTTTTTAATGTATTTGCTTGCTTGCTTGGCCAATTATTTCAGAATAATTTGGAAACAATGATTTGTGTGTCGTTGCCTCGAGATGCATGCTAATTTCACCATATGATCTTAATTGAACAAATTAATAGTCATTTTTAGGTATTGACGACACTCCGAACACAACCACTAAATTCCTTTTGCGATCGGATGTCGTTTAGGTCATGCCACTCATCAATTTCGGATGTCGGTCGTCCCTTTGGACCAAATTTTTTCTGATTTGACTGCGATGGGCTCCTCTTGGCGGATTCAACATCCTGATTGCAACGGTGTAGTCCACTAGTCCGTTTGTCAATCGTAGGTCATTTGACCTTTCAAGTATTTTTGCATATAGGGGTCAACAACTTTCAGATTCTTTGGAAGTAGCAAACTAACTGTAAAATAAGGCTTCGTTTAGGACGGCTTTTTTATCGCTTTTTAAAGCAGTTTTCTAATAAGAAATTTTTGTTAAAAAAAATTATTTAAGAAAGCAAAAAAAAAAAAAACAATCCCAAGCAAAGCCTAAGCATTAACTTTCGAAAATATGTATCATGTTTTCTTATAATGGAATTAAAAATATATTTTTAAGCATCTTTTAGACCTATGCTTCTCAAGCTTACTAAAAAAGTGAAATTTTTATCAGAATATGAGGATGTAAAATATATCAAAATAAACTTTATATTTTTTTTTAGTCTACAGTGAAATCTTACTGATAATGTATATGATATTTAAAATCATACTTGTTGCGTGCTAGAAAATACGCGGCGGTAGAGTTTGTAAATTCGTGTCCAAGCGTTGTACAGAGATTCAGCACACAAATAGAAAAGAGAATGAACACCAGAGTTTTTACGTGGAAAACCCAAAAAGGGAAAAAACCACGGGGCCTCGCCCAGCTGAAAAGTCCCAATAGTGTTTTTATAAATTACAAAAAACTGATTCGTCCCACAAATCGGGACGATCATATTACAACTTGAAAAAAAATTACAAAGTTTTGCAGAATCCCGTCGTTTCTCGAAAATCCGGCAGAGTTCCGGCGTATTCAGGCGGCGGGAAGAGCTCCGGCGGTGGTCGAGGAGGAGAGCATTCTCCTTTTCTCCATTCTCTTCTTCTGCTCTCTCTTCACTTTAGTCCCCTTTGTGAAGAATGAGGGCTCTATTTATAGTTTTATGGAGTGGCATAGCTCGTAAATAGTTGTGAGATCAGGGGCAAATAGGGAGTGGTCGAATGGACGGCCGATATTGAATTCTACAATCATGTATCGTTCGTTGGACATTTGAAGGCCTTAGTGATGTCGGAATTTGGTGATCTTGAGCTCGTTGGATTCGGCTCATCAAGCCGCTCGATTAGAGTATAAGCTCGTTAAAATCGGAGACCGTTTGGTAACTCAAATTGTTGTTTGAACCTTCTAACAATGCTTCGGGTCCTTGATTTGGACCCATTTGGGCTTTCATTGCGTCGAATTTGGTGTCATTGGGTTCGTATTTCTGAGCGCTCAGTTTGACTATAAGCTTGCTGAAATCGGAGTTCGAATGCTCTTGATTTTGATTTTTGAAGTTTCCAATTAGATTTTGCCTCGAGATTCATGCCCGATTAAGATAAGTTTGTGATGACGTATCAATACTAATTTCAGTTTATAAATTTATTAATTATAATTAATGAGCACTTTCCAGAAATAATGTTGATAGATAAAGACCATTTGATCACCTTGAGCTACAAACGAACGACAATTCTCATAAATTATTAGAGAAATAAATAAAGTAGGTAGAAGATACAAAAGATAATTTACAATTAATCAAAATTCAAAAAAAAAAAACAATAATACTTCTATTAAAATAACACAAAATAAAAATCTTAAATTATAAATAAAATGGTGCTCCTTTCCCATATGATCGGCAACTCTCATAGAATTAGAACGAACAAATAACTCATGATGTGACACTCAACTGCATTCTTCCCACTTTATTTTATTCAAAACCAGGATTATAAATTGGCTAAGGCTTCCTCTAAGCTTTGGAAGACAGAAAGAAGAAGCGAAAATGGAGGGAATGGAAAGGATGGAACGGCCTTCTCCCCTAACTCCTGAACTCAACGAAGTATTTCTTCGACGGCTTAAGGAAACAAGGCAAAGGTATGCAGTCTTCTTCCCTCCATGATTTTTTTTTTCGAAGTCTGGAAAGTTGAGAGCCAATGAATCTCAGTTGTAATGGAAAAAATTTATATTTGAAAGCTGCTTTAAGAAGCAGTAAAAAATCCCTCCCAAACGAAGCCTTAAGAGTTTTAGATCTGATTTGAGACTATAAGTAAGGATTTTAGTGGTTTATGTTAATAAAAATTTATATCAGGATTTAGTAACTGTAAGAAGAATGAAGGGAGGAGAGCATAGAAGTGGATGCTATCAACAAATTTTTTGCCAAAGGAAAAAATAAATACAATCATTGAAACACAGAGCTGAAGACGAGGGAATTGCTACAAAAAGTTGGCTAAAAAGAACTCCAAATTTTGAGTTTCAGAGCCGTTTTTTTTTTTCTTTTGTTGAATGCGATAATATTAAAATTGATTGATTTTTCAATTTTAATATATTGTATTTATGACAATAAATTTAGTAATTTTGAGTTCTATTCTGATCAAAATTTGATCATAATAACGTAACACAGTTTTTTTTCCTATGAATATGAATATCAAAATTTAAATTTTCTTATAATTATATCTTCAACTATTAATTTTGAGCTTAATTCTTTTGTTGTCTCTCATTTCAAATAGTGATTAGAATAAATATTGTGTCAGAAATGAATATGCAGAGACAAATTGTATTTAGGAAGGATTAAAAATATTTGACTTTATTTTGAAGTTAAAGCGACGTACATTTTTTTAATGTACAACAGCAATCTCAAAAGAAAGTTAATAATTTTTAAGGCTTTTTCGTTGAGACGTCTTTTTTATTGATAATTAAAATATAATTTTAATTTTTTATTAAAATTCTATTTTAAAAAACAATAAAAAATCGTCCCAAACAAAACCTAAATCTATTGTGACGTAGGTTTTATTTGAGACAATTTTAAATCTTTTTTTTACTACTTCTAAAATTTTTTTTACTATAAACAAATTTTACAAAACAGTAAAAAAATAGTCTCAAATGAAGCCAAAATATGTAACAAAAATCTGCTGATATAATTTTTCAACTGATTAATTGTGATTTCTTTTCTTATATATGTTAGAAAATAAGCTTAGAAGAAGTCGCTAATTTTTTAGCTTTTTTTATATTGGAATTTATATTTATAGAGCAAATTTTATGCAGCTTGGGATTTGGAGATTCGAAGGTGGAGATTAGATTTGAGGGGCTAAACGTTGAAGCCGACGCGCAAGTCGGCCTGAGGACTCCTCCGACGCTCCTCAACGTCACCCTCAATACCATGCAGGTGCGTTGAGCTTTTTCTATACATGACTAGAAGAAATAACTGGTAGGGATTGTAATTTTTAATTTCCGAAAAAGAGTTCAAGCCATGCTTAGAGTAGGCTGTAGAGTAGGCTATCCCAAACAAGAGAAATTATTCTATGTGCGAAGACCGGACGGTCTGGAGACAATTCAGAATGCATCATGTGATCACCAGGTACACAGCAATACCAAGCAAAAAAGTGACGTGATGCATTCTGATTGGTCTCCGGACATTATCTGGTGTCCGCACAAAATTATTAAAGCCTAAGACTTCGGTTCGATAATTTTCTTAATATTTCTACTGTAGTTTTCTGGTAAAAATTTTTGAAGCTAGAGAAAAAATAGTCTCAAACCAAGCATAAATTATTTATGAATTGAAGTAGAAAAAAAAGATCTCTGAAATCCGATTTTGTGCCGCAAGGATTCATTTGTTATTGTTAATTCATTTTTACCATTAATTTGTAATGTATCTAAGTTTCTTTCTAACTTGAGTGGGGGAGTATTTGCCTTGAACAAAGAGATAGAGAGGATAAAACTAAAAATAAATGAAAAAGAAAATAAAAAACTCAAATGAAAAATAGTTTTGACCACTTGTTTGATTAGAAGAAATGGAGGGAAGATATTTATTTTGTTGATTAAGAGTGAGCATTTAAGTCTATTAACAAGCAACACTATTTTGGGCAATTTAGTCAATTCTTATCGAGTCCATTAATGACCAGTCTATTGAGCATCAAAATGATATTTTATATAAATAAACTAACAAGTAAATAAATATTTTAAAAAGGATAAATAAATAGTTTTCATAGACAAAAACAATCTAATACAAAAAATAACAAGTTCCTACATAATCATATATTCAATATATAATTTACTACCTTGTCTTAATATATATATTATGGCGATTGCGACTTTGGGCTATCAAGTCATTAATAAGAGTACACATTTTAGATATCTTGGACATATTGTTCAGAGTAATGGTGAAATATATGGGGATATTATCAGCAGAATTCAAGATGGATGGTTGAAGTGGAGGAATGCAGTGGGCTTGTTGTGTGATAGAAAAGTCCCCCTCAAAATTTAAGGGAACATTCTATAGGATAGTGATGAGACCTGCAATGCTTTATGATGCCGAATTTTGGCCATTAAAAGAGAACCTTAATACTAAGTTAAGTGTTGCAGAGATGAGGATGCTCGGGTGGATGAGTGGCTTGTAGAGTTAATTGATTTGATCTATGTAAAGAAAGGTATAGGTAGACCTAAAAATACTTGGTTAGAAAATATTAGAAATAACCTTTTTTTATTTTATTTAAACGAAAATTTAACTTTTAACATAATACAATAGAGAAAAAATATTCATGTAGCTAACCCACATAGTGGTACAAAGACTTAATTTTTTATTGTTGTTGTATAAATTGACTACTTAGTCTTAGACTAACATTTTATCGAGCTCTAATCAAACTTCTTAATTAAAAATTTTAAATAATATGATTCATGATTATAAACGAATCAAACATTAAGCTATTCAAAATAACTTAATTATAAATTAAATATTTATGAAAGTATTTGATCTTATTCAAATTTTTAAAATTAATAAACATTTCACTATCTCATTCTGTATAAATAATAACTCCAAATTTTTAAAGCAAACGCAATATATATCTACTCCAATAGCCAACACGCATAAGCTGCTACATTTTTATTTTTTCAAGAAAGCTTCTCTAAATATTCGGAACTCTTTATTAATTAACGAAATTATCATTATTGAAGCAATCACTAAATATTTTTTTAACCTCTAAAATATTTATTTTCATTCATTTGATCATTCAATTTGCTGCCTTTTAAGTTGAGACTAATAAAAAAATATTTAACACCTTAAGAAAAACTTTTAACAAATCTGCTGTGGTAACTAATAAAAAAACAACAAGCTTGTAATATAAGTAGTTAATCATGGCCAATCAATTACAACTTTTTTACTTTCTGGATCAACAAAAATTAATTCTTTATTGGCATTACATCCAAAAAAAACTACACCCTTCAATCATAATTAACATTTTGCAAATATTGAATAAAATTTCTTCTCTTGAGGCTCCATCTAAGGATGTAAGAAATATTTTGACCCAAAAAAATTCTAATTCAGATTGACCCATTTAATAAACATATCAAATTTAGGTTAAACATTTCAACCCATTTATTAAACGGTTTTTGTTGATCCGTCAACTCATTTTTGATAAAAAGTGATCTATTTTATTATTCTTTTTTTTTAATTCTTTTATTTATTATAGAATAATCTTTTTATTTTTTATCAATTAACATAAAAATTGTGATTAATAAGTTAATACAAATATTTTTTAAATTAAAACGAAATTTTAGGTCGAATTCAAGTTCAATTTTTTAACTCATTTATTAAATGGGTCCAATCAATTTCAGATTAAATCCAAAAAATTGACTTGTTTTGACACCCCTAACTCCATCACAACTTTTAAATGAATACACTTATCATCACAATTCATAAAATAGATCAAGATATTATCTATGAATACAAAAACAAATTGTTCTGAATTGGATTTGAAAATTACATATAATCTAGCCTCTCTAAAGACTGATGCAGAAGCTCCATATGACTGTTGCATAAAAAAACCAAAGGAAAAGAGAAAAAAAGCGTAATATCACGTAAGAACAATGAAAAAGATACTATCAGGATATGCGATGCATGATATAAATGAAATATCATGTTCTTAAAATTTCTGTCTACTGCTATTGGTCGAAGACATCTAGTTAAATAAAATCAACTATTAATACGTTGGGTGAGAGATGAGGATGAGTAAACACCACAATGGCGAAACAACCAAGAAAGTAAAAGCAGCGGAGAAGTAGAGAACACCGGGATTTAACGTGGAAAAACCTAAAATAAGAAAAAAAAAAAATACGGAGCCACACCACAGTAAGAAATTTACTATGAAAATTGGGAGAAACAAGTATAGATATCTACTCTCTCTCTCTCATTCTCTTCTCACATGCACCGTTATTAACATCTACATACTCAGAAAATATAAGAAAAAATAAGTTATAACTCCCAAGGGATGCAACCATTAAGAAAAACGAGAAAAAATAACTGTTTAGTCCGTCTTTTAGCATTGCGGCACCAATTTGGGGCGCTGCGGCACCCAAGTCTGTAAATTGACCCGCTGTGGCACCATATCTTTCGTTGCGGTGCTCTTCTCTTTGTCATTTAAGGAACACGGCGCCAGGGCGCTCGGGTATGCAGTGCCGGGGCTGGGGCATTGCACGGAAGAGGAAAAGTTTTCGGGTGGTGAACTCCCCGCACCCCTCAATGTACACGACAAGCTTTGATGTCTGAGACAATAGAACCCGATTGATCAACACAATCAGATTCCACACATAACATAATATGGTAGGAATTAACCAATTTAAAGTCCAACGCATGCTCGTCTTTCACTTAGATTTCGTAAGCCTGCTTTGTTAGTGTTATGTTAAATAATCATTGTTCTAAAAAATGAGAACAAATTATTCTGTAAATGTTTTGCCATACGCATTTTATTCTGAAATAAAGTTATGATATATTAATTTCAAATGAAAAAAAAAAGCTGGTCGGATTGACTATTCTAATTTAGCTGAAGCAAAAGAGAAATAAACAAACTCTTTTCGAATTATAAGTATACATCTACCAAAAAAAAACTGTATTCATCTCCCCCAAAAAAATTTTCTTCCTTTCATTTTTCATATCAGTAAGACGTCCGATAAACAAACATAGAGAAAACGATTATGATTTACACCTTTAAAATAATCTAATGTCTACAATTTGTAATCTTTACTCGATTCAATTTAATCTCAAACCAGATTTGTAAAGATTTTATTTGCTGGGCTAACATCTACATTGAAACTTTGAAGACTGTTAGTCATGTAATTTACCAGGGATTGTTCTTTAAATCTGCTTCTAACACACAATGCATGAACAGGAGCTGACGGAATTACTACGTCCAAGTTCTACCAACAAAAAACCCATCAGAATTCTCAATGGACTAACGGGAGTAATAAAGCCATCCAGGTGAGTAGTTGTGCTTGTATACAGAACTTATAAATTGATTCCATTTTAAGCTAACAAACAAAATTAGACAAAGAATACTAATTATGTTTGTAACAGTTCAAAATTTTACCAGGAGATATAAAAAATGTTATTTTCAATAGTAAATAAACTACCTCAACAACATTCTTCAGAAAAAAAAAACTATACGGATATCCAATATTTCATAATTTCGAAAAAAGAATGATGAGAAAGTATAAATAGATGAAAAACCATAATTAACACAATTGAGCATAAGCTGCAAGGAAACAATCGAAGGCTATTATGCCCAAGTAGTTGCGATAAGGCTATACAGATGATGAAGAAGATATACAATAGAGGGGTTTATAACCTGTTGCGTAAATGTCAACTTTCAGAGAGCAAAAACATTTCCATGTTGGAGTTAAAGATTTGAAGTGATAGCAATCATACATGTGCTCACCCGTTATTTCACCGCTCAACCACTTGGCTTTATAACACTCATACCATTCCTTCATCTCTCATTTGATATCTACAACGCCATCACTGCCACTTCACACTCGCCTGTTTATAGGTAAGATGATCATTATTTCACCATCTAATGCGTCATCTCCACACATGCTTTGCCTGAAACCTCGACGATACTTTTCCTATGGTGTGTTCATCTAATTGCAAGCAATTGTTGTGTCCTCATATACCATCCTCTAAACTGACTTTGAAAGGGTTGGTGTGGAGTCCCTCACTACCATTCAACCAAACTAGTGCCTGAATCAACATTTGCGACCATTCACTTTCACTTTATACTCCTCTCTCTTGCCACTCCAATTCTATCATTACCAACTTTCCTCATCTTAATAATATGAATCCCACTTAGATTCTCCACACATCTTCTATCATGGTTTCGTGGCCTCTTCACCTAGTCTTCTTGAGTGAAAACCCCTTGACTATTGGTAACACCAATAAATTTATTAGAGTCAACTTTTGGGGTCACGAACTTTCTAAATTCTTGTTGGTTTTCATTACAAACTTCGCATCTTAATGTCTCTCCCAACTCACAATAACAGCATTGAATTCTCTAAATGGCAGGCATCTGGTTTTGTTGTACTCACTAGGTTATTCAATAGTCTTGAATCGCCTCTCACTTCAAGTATCATGTTCCAAGAAACTACGAAGAAAGTGTCGGACTTCCTTCCATCTACTTCTAGAAAAATAATATTTCTCATATCTATAACTTATATTTGGAGATTCTCTCTGCAACAAAATGATCTGCCTCTTCAAGAATACAATAAATCATAAGAGAAAAGAGAGATGAACTTCTCCAATGGAAGTCATTTATCTCCAATGGAAGTCATTTATCATAGATCCAACTATTTGATAAAGGCAAAATAAGATATTTCTTTTTGCAAATTCCTCTCAAGGATTCATCATTCCCTCCAATACTTTCAATGACACATGACGGCCAACTATACTACTCCTAACATTGCCAATGTTCTCGATTGATTTCTTCATGTTACTAAGCTCTAGCATTATTTTGAGTCAATTTCTAACCAATTTGCTCTTGCTTCTTGGCATCATGTTGATTATAATCAATGGTCCAATTGATGGTAACAATGGTTGTCGGGGAAACTTTTTCCACCCTACCCTCATTTCAGTTGAATAATCATCCCTAAAAATGATGTTGGGCCAAATTTGGTTATCTCTAGTTAACATAAAGCTCTTCTCTACCAACCAGTAGAACTTCCACTTCAAAAAATATTTTTGGATCCATTCTTTATCTTGTGATGATTATAATAGTCTGGCTCAGTACTCTTTGACATATGTCGCAAGCTTTTGTGTTATTTAATCTTTTGGTTTTGCTACATCTGCTTCCTCTAGTGCATCCTGAATTCAAAACTATGATGCAGTTTCTTATATGATAGGTAATCACCACTTATTTTCCTCCTTTGAAAAGTTCTCTCACACACATCCTCGTTGTTAATAGCTCAACCTCCCTTATGTCTGGAAAATACTTTGTATCTCCATTTAATAGCCTATACCTCTTTGAAGTATTATAAGTTCCCAAATATCTTGTAAGTTTTCTTTCAATCCATTATCTTTCTCATAATCAACATTATTCTTAACCCTTATGCCCTTCTCATTGTGTTTTCAATGATATGATTATGAAGAAGACAAGCTGTAGAATTTGATGAAATCTACAACATTCTCTTCCACCACTCCATATCAATGGCATTGTCAGTTTGAATGTAATGCTTGTGAGCTTGGTAAACATCATTAGGTTTCCTTCCATATCACATCTTAGAGGTGTCCCTTTTGAGTTAGTACATTCGGACATTGTGGCATGCGTCCTATCCTAACCCAAGTAAGTTTAAATATTTTTTTACCTTTACTGTTGATTATTCTTATGTTAGCTATATCTATTTACCCAAATGTCAATTTAATATTATGTCTATATATTGAACTTTCTATAAAAAAAATTATAGTTTTCTACTATGACTAAGACCCTTCAAGCTCATAAGTCCTAAGAATTTATACAATCTATATTTCAATTATTTTGTACTAACCACGAGATCACTAATTAGATCTCATGTTCATACATCCCAACATAATCAGTTTGTTGGCCTAAAACATTGATGTTTAATATGAATGTTCCATAACAACTATAGGGTGACTTTGTATTAAAAAAAAATAAAAAAGAAAAAAAAGGGTGACTTTGTATTAATTGCTAGCCATCTTATTAATCGGTCGAGTGTTCTTGATAGTTTTGCGGCTTTTGTCCCCTTCTTTATCACAAATCTTGGGTGGTCCTTTCGTCCTGAAGCTTTTAGCTTTCTTTGCTTTCTCAATTCCTTTTGCACAGGTGATAAGCTCTCTTTGAATTATTTGATGCATCTTTCTAAGCGACACTCATTCTCAAAAAGGTTATCATTATTATGACACTATTAGTCATCATATTCATACTTATGCAAATGCCACATTGCATGAATCCACTCACTATTTAATGCCTCCTTCTCATTGATCATTTTCAGTTGTCCATCTTCATTCTAAAGCCATTATACACATTTCTCCTTTTCTCCAAGTATGCACGTGCTAACCTCGCCGTCCATCTACAATAATACCTCCATCTACATTGTTTGATTCGACTAAGCATACCCCTCCTATAGAGTCTTTTGATCTCCATATGATAATTGCCCTTCATAAAGTTGAACACCACATTATTACATACTATTCAGCCCTATATAACTTTTTACCATGTTACTATTAACTTTCAACACTTTGCCATGTAATTGTCATCAAATTCTATTCCCACGACAAATCAAGAGATCTTACAAAACATTTAATGATAAATAGCTATTGATATTGAAATATATAACTTGTTTAATCAACAAAGTTGGAATCTAGTGACTCGTCCTCTTGGTATCAAACCTTCCACATGTCAATGGGCCTACACCATCGGGTTTCATTAGGGCTTCATTGATTGATATAGGGGCCATCTCATTACCAAAGGCATTACTTAAGTCTATGGGATCAATTAGTTTGCTAAGTTTCACTTGTTGCCACCTCAATTATGTTAGAACCTTTTAATTTACGCCATAAATCAAGTTTGGCATTTTCTTAAAAGGATGTCAGTCATGCCTTCACTAATAATAATTGCATTGAAACTACATGCATAAAGAAAGCATCTGGGCACGCTACTCAGAGGGAAAACAAAATATGCAAACTCAAAAAAGTCATAAATAGACTTAAGCAAAGCTCACATACTTGGATAGATGAATTCTACATGAATTTATCAAAGGTTAGCCTCAAACAAATTAGATCGATCATCTTTTTTCTACCATAATTCATCTAGTTCTAATATCTGGTAGTCTATGTTGATGGCATCCTTATTAGAAGTGATCAAAATGGGGTTACTAAAGGCACTAACTATAAAATTGTTTTCTAACTAAAGGTCTTGGGCAACCCAAATACTTATTGGATGTTAATTTGTCTACAACGAAAGAGTTTTTGTCTTAAAAGAAATATGCAATTAATCGGCCTGAAGAATCAGTCTTCTAGGTTTTAAATATTATAACACTATTATTGACATGCAAAAGATTACACATATGGAAGAAATCATTTGAAGATGTCTCATGTTAGGCTGCTAACAATAATTGGTTAAAAATTTAATCATATTCACTATACTAGATATTTTCTTAGTCATTGGAGTTGTGGATCGAGAGGTTATCCTATGTCTTCAAATACATCGAAAGTCCACCAAGAAAAGGAATTCTATATAGTAGTATAAACATCTTAATATTGAACCTTTCTCTGAAAGCGATTATATGTTTGGATTTGTTGATGATAGACAATTCATGTATGAATATTGTACCTTTTGTTGGGACGTAATCTGGTCACATGGAAGAAAAAGAAATAAACAGTAGTGGCGAGATCAAGAATAAAGTCATGGCATAACTACAAATATGAGATGATGTTGCTTAAAACCTTCTTTGAGGAAATTGATATTAAAATTATTCAACTTATGGCTCCAAACTATGATAATTGAGTTGATATCTACATTGTCAGCAATCCTATTTTTTCATGAAAGGATAAAACACATTGAAGTTGATTATCATTTTGTTCAAGATGTAGTACTATCATACTCCATTTTGACCCCTCTCATTCAAGCACGAGGCATGGCAGAGGTGGGCAACTCAACCATACATGTCCCTCCAATGCTCACCTCATCTTTTACCAAATAAAGCTGAATGGGTAGAAAATGTCAGTCTAGACAAACACAAAACATAAAATCCTTTTCATAATTATCAAATAGATCAATCACAACTATTTATGCAAAAGAATATAACAACAACAACCCTTTATCTCACTATATGAGTCAGCTACATAAATCATTTTTTCTCCATTGTGTCCTATTAAGAGTCAAGTTTTCATTTAAATCTAATCTAAAAAAAAAAATGCAATACTTTATAATCAAGTCTTTTTAAGTTTGCCTCTATCTTTCTAAACATATTGCGGATTTATTACAGTAATTCTCCTAACAGGGTCATCGGGAGGCCGATGTTTTAAGTGACTAAACCATCTAAGACGACTCTCTCTAATCTTATCTGCCACTAGAGTACTCCAACCTTTTCACACATATACTTGTTTCGTATGTTATCTATAAGTGTAAAGCCACTCATCCACCTGAGCGTACTCATCTCTACAACACTTAATTTTATGCTTCTTTTTTAATGGCCAACATTTTGCGTCATAAAACATTACAGGTCTCACCACCATCTTATAAAATTTTCCTTCGAACAATTGATCCAAAATATCTCCATCTATTTCACCATCGCTTTGAACAATATATCCAACATATCTAGAACATGCACGCTTTTTAATAACTAGATCACCCAATATCACAATCTCACTATTAGATCTATTACTATTATCCCCTCAAATGAAACTCCCTCTCTAGTTTTATCAGCAAGAAGAATATCATCAGCAAAGTACACCAAGGCACATCCTCCTGCAAATGTCTAATAAGAATATCAATGACTAAAGCAAAAAGATATGGGCTTAAAGCTTATCCTTGATTTAGTCCACTTGAAATAGAAAATTACTTGATCAAACCACCTTGTGTTTGAACACTAGTAACAGCTCTTGTATACATATCCTTAATGATATGAATATAAGCATTATTAACTATTTTCTTTTCTAAAACTCTCAAGAGCACTTCTCTAGGAACTTTATCATATGCTTTCACTAAATTAATAAATATCATAAGTAGATCCTTCTTACTCTCTTTGTACTTCTCCATCAAAACTCTCAACAATTGTATAGCTTCCATAGAACCAAACTGATTTTTTAGAAACATTAGTATCACATCATAATCTATGCTTAATTATACTCTCCCATAATTTTAATTATGACACAAGCTTAATTCCTCCAAATTTGTAAACTTTTGTGCATCATCTTTATTCTTAAAAATAAGAATCAACACACTCTTTCTCTACCCATCTGACATCTTTTTAGTCTTCAAAATAATATTAAAGAGTTTATTAAACCAAGAAATTCTATGATCTCCTGAGCATTTTTACACTTCTATTGTAATATCATCGAGCCTATTGCTTTTCCACACTTTATTTTCTTTATCATCGGGTTTACTAATACAACAATAAAAATAAAAATCTTTATTTTCATTTAGGGAGCTAAGGTCACTAAAGTCAATCATTCTCACAATCATTATTAAAAAGTTCATCGAAACATCTCATCCACTGGTATTTATGAAGAAAAATATGTAAGTAAATTCATTTATAATGAATTAAAAAGCTTCTAATCAACATTATATATAATTAACACTTACCAATTCTCTTTAATAGGCATCATAAACATGCTGGTTCTTATTACATTAAAATTGTATAACAAGAACACTAAAATGAATGATAAAACTTAATCGCCTCACTTTGGCCCAACCTACTCTTTCCTTTTACCTGAAATAATAATCATATAGTAATATCCAGCGAGCTATAAAGCCCAGTGTAACAAGCAAGTCTAATATAGAGTAACATATATGGGAATGAAAGCAATATGTATAGCATGCTGATCTTTTGAACTAACAAGGGTAACAACATCCATAGATAAAACTAGCTCGGTGGAATTAACTTACCATGCGTTTAAGCTAACCCATAAACAGTTTAGCTTAAGTCAAGAAAGCATAAGATGGTTTCTAAAAAAATCATTTAGGGGTTGGGTATAATTAAGCTAGTCTTAAGTGCCAACCAAATAGCCCCTAACTTAATCCCCTCTTCCTAATCCCACTTCCTATCCTTCAATCACTCATAAATAAGTAATAGGAATTAGGAAACTATCTATTTCTCCTGTCCCTCCATGCCATTCTTTTTCCTTCTTCGTAATTTTTTGTTGATGCAGGCAATTTTGCAAGCAATACTTTATAGTGTTATTATGTTTAAGCAATGTCCAATACTATAAAAACCGTTCATTTAATTTCTATGCAGTGAAGTATGCCGGAAAGGGGGTACCAATTACCAAAAAATTGTTCGGTAGATACACTTTATACACTAAACTAACTTGAGCTTTTCCCTCACTCCAATTCCCTGTGCCCTGCTATGCTCCAGAATTTAATTTATTAGTGTACACGGAAAGACTGGGAGACCTTATAATGCTATATAAAATAAAAATAATATTATTAATATTAATTTTAAAAAGGTTTTATGAAAAGGAGAAACTTCATCATATTGCTTGATTATCCCTGAAAGATTTTTCCATTGTAGAAACTGTCCATTTGTTCTGGCTAGAGCATATATATATATATATATATATATATAGAAACTATACATGCAAATTAAAAGTCCTAATTTAACAAAAAATATAAGCTACTAACTAAATACTAGCAGCGCAAAAGTTGAGAAAGAAAAAAAGAAAACGTATTCAAGAAACACATCAAAGAACAGATATCTTGTTACCAAATCCAAACGCCACAAAAACTTCATAACCCTGCTAAGAAGAAAAATTAGAATAAACTTTTGGCAAATGAGCAGCATTCCAGAACTATTTAAAAGAGAAGTTTCGTAAGATGAATAGTAGATCATTTCTAGTTCTTAACAGACTTGACGAAATATTTACATGTAAGCTTTAACTCATTTGGCAGGATGACACTAATCCTCGGACCACCAGGTTCAGGAAAATCAACTTTCTTGCGGGCCTTGTCAAAAAAATTAGATCCGGCATTCAAAGTAAGAGACATGTACCCCTGAGCTCTTTTCTAGCACAGTTTCCATCTATGCATCTATTGACAAAACCATTAAAGTATTTTTTAATGCTAAAAGAGGTAGTTCTTGCTTGTTTCATAAATTAGGTTTCAAATCTAAAAGAGTTAACTTTCTTTAGATATTGGACAATCAGAAACTGTCATTTGACAAGTAATTCAATAGAATTTTGCATCCTGGAAGGTATCTTGTTCTTCATTTCATGATGCGAATAATTTTTTTGATTTCAACATACTCATTCATGTAATCATACACTTGTGCATCATTTCATTCGTATGGTTTAAGCACTTAGACCATCCCCAAAAGGAGGTGAATTTTTTGGATTAATAAAGCTAATCCCAATAGTTTGGATAAGATTATTGAAGTTGATGACAATGATCAAACTTAGGCATCGTTTACAATTTTTTGTGAGCACGTGATTTTTTTTTTGTCCTTCAAGTAATTTTCACCACTTTAGGAAGAATATCCATTTATGCTCATCTTGATGTTCCTTGATCAGACCTTTCATAATGATATTTTAAATCCAAGGAACACTAGATGCAACATAGAGATCTTCAATTTCATGCATAATTATAATTTTGATAATGTTTGAAGTCAAATCATCAAATATTGGACTGATTTTTCGCACATAATATCTAACTTTAACTCTTCTGTTGTAGTTTTACTAATTCAGTTGTCCCTTCTTTTTCTAACTCCCAAAAACATGTTCATGGAATGGAAATAGATCAGTGGAAAGGTTACATTCAATGAACAAGAGCTTAAACCTTCTACCTCAGAACAGCTATGCATGTACGTTAGCCAGCATGATCTTCACCATGCAGAGATGACTGTGCGTGATACATTAAATTTCTCCAGCCACATGTTCGGAACTAATAAAGCATTTGGTGAGTGAATTGATCAAGTCTTAATTTTAAAAGTTTTAAGAATCGGTGTTGATTTGACTTGTAATCTGATGTTTTCTTGCTTACATACAAAAGGAAAAAAACAAAGAAAAGAAAATTTAAATCATTTATTCCCTTACAAAAGATGTGGAAAAATATCAAATAAGCAAATAATGATTATTAAATGTTTGTCTTATTCATATAGAGCACAATAAATTGATTTGTTTCATAGCTTTTGCACAATAGCTTTGAGTCGAAGATTTGATCCTGAAACCAAACTCAATCTGAATGGTGGTATGTTGCAGTAGTTTCCCCAAATCAATAAGGAAATGCTAAATTATTGTCAAGAAACCCTAGTTATCTATCATTCTCCTTGACTTCACCAAACTCAATCTTGAGTTTCAAGAAAATGATTGAAGCAATCATACATGGACTTGAATTCAGCAATCATGTCCACATAAGAAAAAGCATGTTCTGACATAACCCTTCACAATTTCAAAAAACAAAAGCCTCTTGATAGAGGCATTTTAAATTTCTAGACGATGCCAATCTTCACCTTGACATCCTTTTCATGACATTTGATCATTTTCTTTTTATAAGTAAAAAAATATTGGAATTTTTTTAATTCAAGTAAAAAAACAATGGTTTGGATTAGTTTGATTCGGTTTAGGGTGGTCTTTTCAATTATGTTTGGTTCAATTTAACACATATTGATGTTAGAAAACAGATTTTCTAGGTTATAAATTTAAGACACTATTTTTTTACTAATGAATCATGATACTTCATTTAAAAATATACTTCAGTTCAGTTTGATTTTATTTGGTTTTTCTATCGATTTATGGAAAACTACTAACCCATATCAAACCATACAGAAGGATCAATTGTTCTGATTTTCGTCAGTTTTTTTGCTGTCTTTTTTTTTTCTTTTCTTTTCTTTTTTGGCCAACCCTAGCATACAGCCAATTCTTACATTTTGGCATATTTGAGCATAGAAACATAGACATGTAAAAAAAGACACCTACATATATATAAGGCACCCACACTAAACAAGTACACGTACACACAGACATGCAGATTGGTATATCAACATGCATATACAAAAAAAGATACACGCAATTAGAGCACACATACAGTCATACATATACATAGCAACATTTTAACATAGGTTATATAATGGAGAGAGAACAAAGGGAGGGAGAGAAAGAGAGAGAATTAGGCTACTCAAATGCATGCTTGTTTCTCATTCCATTTGATTCTAGCTATGAAGATATAAACTAAAATTTTTAAACTCATTGATCATGTATTCACTACTACAACAATAACAACAAGTCAAACAAAATTTTTTATCCCACTGTAGGGCCAGCTACATGATCATGAAATTCACAATTCAAATAAAATTTTTTATATTTACAATAATTTGGTTAGATATCAAACTTATTATAGAAACTAATGTTTATGAAAAAAGAAACAAACAAGAAAATTGTAATGATTAAAGTCAATCATCAAAGCTAAACAATGCAGTTAGTCGCACACAAAAAAATCTGTCCAAATGGACAGTCTAAAAGCCCATTATTATTTTTTCACATCCACTTCACTTCTTAAATCGTATTATGCATGATAGATGGACCATCAAATGATCCAGGAGTTCCCAGAGCTAGATCTCTTTCCAAAATTAGGAAATAATAACAACAGTGTTAGATTGTACTTTGAGATAAAAAAATAACTTTATTCCGGAAGGAAAATTATCAGGATGACACACAATCCAATTAAGTATCCAGAAAATTAACGTCAAACACAAATATACATTATTAAGTAAATAATATAATTATGAGCCTCTATTTCCATTTAATAATTTTGAATGTGTATGAGGTGTTACTTATATCTTTTGCAAATTTTTTACACAATTCCAAGCAATGTTTAGTTTACCAGGTTTTCTCCTTAATGTTTTAACATTAATTCTATCTACTCATCTAACCGGTGCACTCCTATCTTCCATTATCAATACTCTAACCACCTTAGTCCATCTTCGATTATTTTTATTTTTGCTTCAACATGTTTTACTCCCACCATATCTTTAATAAAATCATTTTTTTTATTTATTCATTCTAATTTTAGCATACATCCATCTGAATATTATCAGTTTTGTCAAAATGCCTATGAAATTCATATTTCACAACACTCAAACTCATATAACGTTGCTAGTGACTAGTCTAATAGAAAATTGTAAAAGCTACCTTTAAATCTCAATGAAAATATTGATCACCTTCGAATCTAAAGTATCTTCATTATAATCACTCAGCATCAACTCTCAAAATTTTTTCCACATCTATGTCCCTATATTTTGATAACATATACAATGTAATTAAAATCTCACATTTAGGTGTTACTTGATAATCAAGCTATTTTTACTGAGAATTAATATTTTCATAGTTGGATATAATATTATACTCCAATTATGATCACTAATCCTAAGCCCTTTATCTTCTAAGAAAATGAGATAACATAATAAAGTTTCACAATTTTTCTAAAGTTTTATCTTCTTTACTCACACTCCAAAAGCATCTATGAATATCTTTTACATTGACAAAGTTGAGCCACTATGAAAATCTTTTGTAAGGATCTATAAAAAAGAGAAAGATACTAAGTTAACGTTGACCCTTAATGTAATTCCGCTGTGATACAAAATTACATTTAAAAAGTTGACCCACCATGAATATCTTTTGTATGCATCTATAGAAAAGGTATAGAAAGATCCTAAGTGAATGTTAACCCTTAATGTAATTCAACTATGATACAAAAATAACTAGTCACTCTGCAAATTACATTTACAAAGTTGACCACTATGAATATCTTTTGTAAGCATCTATAGAAAAGGTATAGGATACTAAGTTAACGTTAAACCTAATGTAATTTCACAGTGATACAAAAAATAATTAGTCACTCTACAACTACTGATATGATCAATATTTTATCATATGCACATTTCATCATTAATGCCCACCAATTCAATTCATGTGATATATATATATATATATATATATAAAGAGAGAGAGAGAGAGAGAGAGTCTAAACTTCATTTATTCCTTCATAAATCATCTTAATCATAGATCTTCTAACAACAATATCATCATAATCATCAAATTTTTATCCCACTATATAAGGTAAGCTACATGAATCATTTTCTCTTTAGTGTGTCCTATTAAGAGTCAAATTGTCATTTAAATCTAATAAACAAAAATCATTTCTAATGCTTTCTAACCAAGTTTTTTTGGGTCTACCACTACCTTTCTTAATATAGATCAGATCCAATACATCTACTCTCCTAACAAGATACTCAGAAGACTGGTGCTTTATGTGACTAAACCACCTAAAGCAACTCTCTCTAATCTTATCAGCCACTGGAGCTACTCTAACCTTTTCACGTATATACACATTTTGCATTCTATCTCTAAGTGTAAAGGTACTCATCCACCTAAGCGTCCTCATTTCTGTAACACTTAACTTTATTTTATGCTTCTCTTTTAATGACCCACATTCTGTAACATAAAGCATTGCAGGTCTTACCACCATCTTATAAAATTTTCCCTAAAGTTTTAGGGCACTTTTCTATCACACAACAAGCCCGGTGCATTCCTCCACTTTAACCATTCAACTTGAATTCTACTAGTAATATCCATATCTATTTCACAACCGCTTTTAACAAAAGACCTGAGATATTTAAAATGATAACTCTTTTTAATGACTTGATCACCCAAAGTCACAATCTCACCATTAAATATATTACACTCCATGTATTTAGTTTTAGATATACTCAAATGAAAACCTTTAGACTCTATGGTTGACCTCCATTATTCAAGTTTTCCTTCTACTCCCTCTCTAGTCTTATCAGCAAGAAGAATATCATCAGCAAAAAGCATACATCAGGGCACATCCTCCTGGAAATGTCTAATAAGAACATCCATGACTAGAGCAAAAACAATGAGCTTAAAACTGATCCTTGATGTAGTCCACTTGAAATAGAAAAATACTTGGTCAAACAACCTTGTGTTTGAACACAAGTAACTGCTCTTGCATACATATCCTTAATGAATTGAATATAAGCACTATTAACTTCTTCTTTTTTTCTATAACTCTCCATAACACTTCTCTTGAAACTTTATCATATGCTTTATCTAAATCAATAAATATCATATGCATACCCACTTACTCTCTCTATACTTCACCATTAAACCTCTCAGCAAATGTATAGCTTCCACGGTAGACTTACCCAGCATGAATCCAAACTGATTTGAGAAATCTTAGTATCACATCGCAACATTTACTCAATTACTCTCTCCCATAATTTTAATGAACGACGCATTAACTTAATTCTTCTATAATTTGCAAACTCTTGTGCATCAATTTTATTCTTAAAAAAAGGAACCAACACACTCCTCCACTTATCGGGCCTCTTTTTAGTCTTCAAAATAATATTAAAAAGTTTAGTAAGCCTTTCTAACTTCAATTTTTGGTTTCATCTCCTAAGCATTTTCACACATCTATTGAATATCATCAATTCCAACTGCTTTTCCACACTTCATTTTCTTTAAAGCATTTCTAACTTCAATTTTACTAATACGATGATAAAAAAAAATCTTTATTTTCATTGCAATGTTTCATTAATTCATAGTATGATCCATGAGCTTCAATCCTTTAAAATTATCAAATTCATGCAAATCTTCATATCCTTGTAAAATAGTATTAAAAAGAATTCTTCTCCACTCATTTCAATTCCTTAAAATCTTCGAAATTTCATCAAAAGAAATGTTAACTCTCTCCTATAGTACCCAAATCTCAATGGTTATTTCATCTCAACCCAAAATTTTGACTTCATGCATTTTCTTCAAAGCCACTTCTTCACTTATTTGAATTAATCAATAGTATACTTAATAAATCTGTTCATTTATCTTTTCTAAGAAGATCAACTTCTTAAAACTCTAATTTATTAATTTAAAATAGTTATTACGAAACATGAGAAAGTGTTAAGGTGCATGTCTGTGCGCAAACATCTGAAATAAGTGTGTTTTTTATTTTGTGTAGCAGTTTGCATAGCATTAGCTAGTACAATTTGTACCATGCAGGATAGTTCAAATTCTCTTAAGCTGGTATAACGAGCAAATGGAAGGTGTACATAAATGGTTATTTGAAAGGTCTAGCTGGACGAGAAAAGACACGAGGTAATCTAAAAGTTAGGGATCATTTAACAATGTTCTTAGGTGTCAGTTTCCAAAAGCTATAAGTGCTTGGAAAATTTGTAAATTTATTTTGCAGTCTTCTTGTTTGACATAGCATTGACAACTAAGGAGTATGGTTACTTAAAGAGTTGCTACTACATTATTTAAAAGAAGTCATTTATTTTATTTTGGAGAAAATGATTAAAATGATCCCTTGACTCTTTATGAAAGACCAAAATGGTCCCCAACTATATTAAATGACCATTTTGTTCCCTCAATTCTTTAAAAGAGAAACCTATTTTAGATCTTTTTTAAGGATTTAAGGGACCTAAATGGTCCTTTAATATAATTGGAAATTATTTTGGTCCATAAAAAATTAAAGAACCATTTTGATAATTTTCCCTTCTATTTCGTATAGAGTGATACACCACAAAAAAGGTTGCAATAAAGGTACTAAAGCATAAAAGAGAATATTCATAAAGATCTGTCCAGACTCCAGATTAGTCTTTATTACTTTTACACAACAAAGTACCTCTAACATATATGGCACATTCAGTACGAAAATCTGTAAAATAATCTATTCAAGATATGCTCAAGGAAAAGCTTGAATATAACATAGATCAGCTACCTTAAGTTTCATCTGAAGTTTCATCTCTATACGTGGTAACTAAAATTTGCATCATTTATAGAAATCATTCTTTGCAGAAGTTTTATTTCTCTACATGATAACTAAAATTGACATCATTTACAGAATCATTCTATGTACTAAGCTCTCACAGTCCCAACCTGATTAAAATATTGCATTTATCCAGAGATTTTGAGTGGCGTACCAGGGACAGAAAGGGCATCAACCAATAAATTAGCCCCAGAGATAGATGAACTTCTTGAGGTGGTAACTCGATCAATTTAACTGCTCAGAGTTTAGACTGTTTGACAATTATGCTACTATTGTTCAGGCTACCTCCTGTGGAGAAGGAAGCAACTTGACTACAAATTACATTTTGAAGGTTTCAGCTCCTTATTCTTATTCTAACTACCGAGCACTCACATAGCCAAAAAGTTTTGAAAAAAGTAACAAGTAATTTGTATTGTTTAGTTAAATAAAAAAATCATTAAAGATCATAAAAGACTAAATTGTTTAGTTAAATAAGGAAAGTGGGGAAAACTATCAAACACAATTTGACTGTAGTAATTTGGAATATCTGGTCTTACATGGAACTTTACTATTTTTCCTATCACCAGCTGCTTGGCTTAGAGGACTGTGCCAATATTATTGTAGGAGATGAAATGAGAAGAGGCATTTCAGGAGGACAGAAGAAACGAGTTACCATCGGTAAGTATCTCTTATCTCACTCAATCTTTTACTGCAAATTGATAACTAGAACTAATAAGAACATTCTTGTCTTCTAATCTCAGTAGGCTAAAATTGTAGCACAACTAGAACATTCATACAACTTAGACAATATAATGATACCAGTACTTTCTAGCCCTGAGCATAAGAAAAAATTTGATCATGCAAAGGCACTGCGTGCTAAACTTAACATTCAAACTAGCTTATCATATTATGATCCATAGTTAAAGTTTGTAAGAGATAGAAGCAGCTCATGCAAAGAAAATAAACAAAGAAAAAACATCTTGCTTGAATTAAGAAAAAAATTTAAACCAAGCTTTTGTAGGTTTCACGACAGGAACCATCTCACCTCATTTTGCTTAAGCGAAATATGTGAAATTTTGCAGGAGAAATGCTAATCAGTCTTGCGAGAAGTTTCTTCATGGATGACATATCAACTGGTCTGGATAGCTCCACCACCTACATGATTGTGAAGTTTCTCAGGCAAATAGCACATATAATGGATACCACCATGGTTATTTCCTTAATCCAGCCATCAGCTGAGACGTTTGAGCTATTTGATGACATAATTCTACTATGCAAGGGGCAAATTGTTTATCAAGGTCGTCGAGAGAATATACTTGAGTTTTTTGAGTACATGGGATTTAAATGTCCCGATAGAAAGAACATTGCTGACTTCCTTCAAGAGGTATTCCATAAACTGTATAAACAACCAATTTTACTAAAATCGATGAGAATATCCAAGGCTTCTGTTACAATGATTTTAAGTATGTACTAAAAATGGTACTTTATTTACTGTTAACAGTACCTAAAACCAGAAACATATATTAACCTTCTGAGATTAATAAAATAGCATCTTATTGATAACCTTAACAAGAATTTATTTGACAAATTCAGATTTAGTTTTCCCTTCTTAGACGTGGTTTGACAGTTTGATTAGTAGACGGACTCAGTCAGCCAAATCTTACCACACTAAATGTAGGCATTAATGATACGACCAAGAGAAAGAAAAAAAAAAAGAAGATTAATAGAACGAAAACCATAATTCCCATGACTCCATTCTGCCTTGGGCCTTCAAACCATATGAGTGTGTTGTCTATGCTACCTTCTTCTAAATGACTACCAAGATCTAATAATAGTAGGATTCGGTTGTTTCGTTTTAGAAACAGGTTCCAATTATGTTCTTTTAACTGCTGACCTCAATCTCCTTTTCCATTTTTTAACATTTCTCACTGCACAGAAATACAGTTCTTGAAGTAACTTATACAATGGATATAAGGAACGGCGTGTGGAGCTGGTGGGCTATGTGAAAATTTTCTCTTTTCCCTCCCCACTTCCCCCACTTAGATTCTCCTTTGATTTCTTCCAATGATCCATCATTTGAAAGCTCAACCCATATCAATGCCAGCTTAAGGTTTCCTCACAAAAATACGTGTTGTCCTTAAGTAATTATTATCACTTGCCAAAAGTGCATTTATGACACGTAAGTGTAGATTAACCAAGTTCCCAAACCAGATGCACTCACAAAATTTTAAATAAGCAATTTCCATGCACTAGAAGGTAGACAGAGCGACAGACTAAAGGGTCATAATATATGCATTTTCCTCAAAGATTTATTTCCATCCATTTTACTTGAGTTTCCATATTCGAGTTATTTGTTGCTTGATAAATTTTAAGGGTGTCTGAGAACTCACAGTAATTCTTCACTAGAAGAGTTGATGCTCCATTTAAATCTCATGCGTTCTCATTGTTAGTGACAATTCAAGATAAGATTATGATCTAGCCTTTCTTTAAGCCCAAAGCCTGATCCATACAACAGACTTCAACTGGTTCGATACAAATAATCTAAATGCCACAACAGTTGTCAAGAAAATCATAGTTTCAAGCATATGCTTATAGAAAATAGCTTCCACCTGTTATATCAAATGCCAAATTATCATAAGAAAAGACTCATCAACTTACTCTGAGAAACGAAACTTGAAGTTTCAAGGAGACCATTTGATGAACATCCCAGTTCAAATATTCACATGCACAATAATAGTTTCTTGAAAAGCTCAAATCAACTAAAATTGACAACAAAAAACTTAATTAATTGAACTAACACTTATGAAAATAATTTTTATGAACCTTCATGCAGGTGACCTCAAAAATGGATCAAGAACAGTATTGGAAAGATAACCAAAGGGAATACCAGTATGTTTCGGTTGAAAAATTTGCAGAATCCTTTTGTTGCTATTATCTGGATCAGCACCTTGAAGATAAACAGCATATAATCGGAGGCTACACCAAGAGCGTGAGAACAATTGCAACCAGTGAAAACTACAGAATCTCAAACTGGAAGGTATTTAAAGCATGCTTCTCTAGGGAAGTGTTACTATTGAAAATGAACTCCCCAGTGCATATATTCAAGAGCATACAGATAATGATATTGGCTTTGGTGACCATGACACTTTTTCTTCGAACAAATATGGACCATCACTCAATTGCAGGTGGAAATAAATTCATAGGAGCTATCTTTACTGGCGTAGTGATAGTGAACTTCAATGGAATGACTGAGCTGGCAATGATAGTAAAGAGATTACCTGTCTTCTACAAGCAGAGGGAGCTCATGCTTTTGCCAGGATGGGCTCTTCTTTTTTCAATATATATACTAAGCATTCCATTGACATTGATTGAAACAGGCATATGGACTTCCCTAACATATTTTGTCATTGGTTATGCCCCTTCTGCAACCAGGTATAATATTTGAACATGTAGCCACTACAGTAGCCATTATTGCCGCAAACTAACAAGAGCCTATACATATGGATCCCATCTTTGGTTTTGGCAGGTTTTTTCAACAGTACCTGGCCTTTCTCTCCGTGCACCAAATGTCAATGGGCCTTTTTCGTTTGATTGCTGCTATTGGGAAAACGCAGATGATGGCTAACACACTAGGCACTGCAGCACTTATTTCAATTTACATCCTGGCAGGATTTGTGTTATCCAGAGGTCAGATGATTATGATTTTTCAAGATACAATTGAGCTTGCGTACACATAATCCAGTAAGACATAAAATTGATATGCTGGTTTCTTTTCTAACACTGCTGTAACTAGATGACATCCAACCATGGCTGAAGTGGGGTTATTGGTCATCTCCTCTAACATATGGTCAGAATGCAGTAGCACTAAATGAATTTTTAGATGAAAGGTGGAACAAGGTAAAACTACTCTCTAGATGTTTGCCAAGAATAACAGAATTCTTGTGAAAAATGATCTACGATATGTTGATCATTGAAACTCAAACTTATCTAAAGCCTAAAAATGGCAAGGCAACACTAACAGGTTCCATTCATTTTTATCTTTTTTCGACAGAAAATGTATGACAACAGCAATGAAACTATCGGTGAGGTTTTTCTCAGATCAAGAGGGCTTCTCACGCAGTGGCACTGGTATTGGATTTCTATAGGCGCACTAGCTGGCTTCTCATTAATCTTTAACATTCTTACAATCTTTGCCTTGGAATATAGCAACAGTGAGTAATCACTCAACATTATGTAAAAGCATCACAAGGATTTTGAAGAAACGTCATCCAAGAAATGAACTAACTATTAATCTTCTGAACAACAGACCCGTACAAGCATAAAGTTACTGCTAGTACTGAAGTTGCGGATCTGCAGCTTAACGGGAAAGATAATGAACAACAAGGAGATGGAAGAGTATCAACTCCTTTGCCTTTTCAGCCACTGAACCTTGTATTCCAACACATCAGCTATTATGTAGACATGCCAAAAGTAAATAATCTACACTTAGAAATTTTATTTCAGTGGGTTACTGATATATATCCTAGTAGTAGAACTATCTTCAAAATCAAGCTAAGATTTAAGTTCTAACAAACTTTGTGTCATATTAATGGCAGGAAACCTGATGGTAGAGATAGGCTATTAATAGGATTTCATATCAGTTACTAACTGATAATTTCCCCTTCCAGTTTAATACCATTAAACAAAAAATCTGTCCTTCAATCTAAATAAATACTCAAAAGAAGCGTCTCAAGCAATGCATTTAATATGTTATGATCAGGGAATGAAGAAAGATGGGAATGGCAAAAGGCTTCAACTTCTAAGGGACGTCAGTGGCGCTTTCAGGCCAGGCATTCTAACAGCACTAATGGGGATCACAGGTGCAGGGAAAACAACATTGCTAGATGTTTTGGCCGGAAGAAAAACTGGGGGATACATTGAAGGAAATATTAGCATATCTGGTTACCCGAAAAAACAAGAGGCATTTGCTCGGATCTCGGGTTACTGTGAACAGACGGATATTCACTCGCCATTTCTCACAGTTCATGAATCTCTACACTTGTCTGCATGGCTGCGACTACCTTCTCATGTTGAACAGCATGACAGAAATGTAAGACGTCATACTCTCCTTTATCCTACCTTTCTAAGAACATCAATTGTTAATCACGTACTAGTGAAACAAATACGCTCAACCAGCTGCCATGTTTTCTTCTCCTTAGATGTTTGTGGAAGAAGTCATGTGCTTGGTTGAACTACTGCCTCTGAAGAAAGCCATTGTAGGCCTTCCTGGAGCCCATGGTCTATCAGCTGAACAGAGGAAAAGGCTTTCAATTGCGGTGGAGTTGGTTGCCAGTCCTTCCATTATTTTCATGGATGAGCCCACAACAGGTTTGGATGCTCGGGCCGCAGCAATTGTCATGAGGACTGTCAGAAAAACAGTAGACACTGGACGAACTGTTGTCTGCACTATCCACCAACCAAGCATAGAAATATTTGAAGCTTTTGATGAGGTATGCATGAAAATCATCATCTCTAGGCAAAAGTAGCAAAATACATACACAAGACTTAGTAAATATGATAAGATGAATTTAAAAGAAGGTTTAAAAACTTGGAAATATCACCAGAACATTCACCATCCATAAAAATTTCCAATAAGAATATGTTCATCTCTTACAAAAAAAGTTTTTGAGAAGTTTTACGAGAAATAAACGATGAATTCTGCAACTAGATAGAATGTCTCTGTCCTTTATTATGCTATATCAATTCCATGATAAAAAAATTCAGCCAAAACAAAGGGCACCTCCCATTAAAATGGAATATACGTTGGTAGGTGACAAAACACTACCAGTTTATAATTTATCTTGGTTTGTTGGCTTTTTCAAATTAGTTGAAACAATGTTTCCTTTATCCTACGGAAGAGTTCAGATAAAAATATAAGACGATAGTTAAATTTATAAGAAGTTTTTTGGAAGAGGTACATTTTGACATTTTCTTCAACTAGCAGGACAAAGGTTTAAATCAGCCTTGCCAACTCCTATTTTCTTATATTTAAGAATGCCATGATGAAAAAAAAAACTATTTCTAGCTATTAAACTAAACTTTGTGCAGTGTTCACAATTTATTAACTAAACTCTCAAAAGAAGATTGAGAATTCTTTGAACTTCCCGAATACGAGATAAATGTCTGGAGGATGGTTGAAGCAAAACACTATTTTATATCATAAATTTCATCATGCAGTTACTGCTAATGAAAAGCGGTGGGCAGCTTATATACAGTGGACCCCTTGGTCCATTTTCTCAGACAATGATCAACTACTTCGAGGTAAAATTCATCTTTTTCTTTGTTATTGCATATGATTAAACGTGATTAGTTAACGCTCATTCTGAGGCAGGCCATCCCAGGAGTAGCCAAGATCAGAAAAGATCAAAATCCAGCAACATGGATGTTAGATATCACATCAACAATCATTGAATATAATCAACGCATAGACTATGCAGGCATCTACCGTAACTCTTCTCTATACAGGTAAGTCGATGACAAAAGAATCCTCAACAACTAAAGATTTAAAACAATAGCAAATCTCCTGCTTAATTAATTTGATGATAAATCAATATATCAGAGACAACATGGAGATGGTTGAGGATTTGAGTAAAAGGCGACCAAATCTTGAGGAACCACATTTCCTCACAACTTGTCGATTGAGCTTCAAAGTACAGTGTTTAGCATGCTTGTGGAAACAAAATAGATCATATTGGAAAAATCCAGAACACAATATTGTGCGTTTCGCTACCACTGTCACAACTTCATTACTTTTTGGTGTAGTCTTTTGGCAGATAGGCTCAAAAATGTGAGTTCACAAATTTGTTATACATCACTATATTTGTGATGTTATTTTCTCATAGTCCTGAGCATTAAATAACAGGACAAAGGAACAAGATATCTTCAACGTTCTAGGAATCATGTATGGGTCAGCATTATTTTTAGGCTTCGCAAATGCCAGTATAGTGCAGCCTGTTGTGGGAACAGAAAGAACTGTACTATATCGAGAAAGAGCAGCTGGAATGTATTCAACTCTGCCTTCTGCAATTGCTCAGGTAGTTTCCTCTTACTCTTAAAATATATTTTCAGCAATTCTGGACAATTATTGACAGCAAATTAATCAAGAGAAGAAAAGGTTTCTTTCATATGCAACTAATGCTTTCAGCAAGTGACAGATTATTAACCCATTTCAAGAATTAAAATTTTCAGTACATCGACTAATTTGCCAATTTTCCAGACAAACTTTTTCAGATTTATGAGTAAGCTGAAGAACGATCTATGTATTTAAACCCAGTATATACAAGTAGACTCCTAAAATGGATCTTACTAAATTGGTTAGATGACACTGATTTAAGTTTCAAAATAATAGAAAATGAAGGTAGGAAACGCAATTCAATATATTTAAATTTAAGCCATACATGGAGAAGGTTTTCCTCAGCAAACATGCAATGTGTATGCCATCCTAGGTACGCCATGATCAAACTAGGATTGCATGCACAAAATGTTCTTCTTTTCCTTTTTTTCGGTATGGGAGAGTAGAAAGCTGTTCCATTTTTCATCACAAATGAAATAAAAGAAACAGCCAAAGCAAGTCCTACGTAACCAAAAACACAGTTGACTTTAAAATCCCATATTTCCACTTTCTAGAAAGTTACAATGAACCAACAACCTTCTTTTGTATCACACTTTTTGTTTATTCACCAATCTCTTATACCTTTTAGGCTGAATTTGGGTGAGGGAATTGCCGTGGGGGTTGGGAGGGAGTGGCGTTTAAGAGTAGGAGACAATGAGTGGGGAAAGTAAAGGTCAGAGCAGAGTTCATAGGGACATTTGTAGAAGCATTTTCCCTTACGAACTGAACTTGCCATTGCAATAGGAAACAACTTTTCTTTCTAACAGTTGCATTTTGGTGATTACAATTTGTTTAGCTTGACTCTATTCTATCATACAAACTTTCACTGACAACATGGAAAAATTCAACTTTTGCATATTTTATGATGCAGAATAAAAAGAACTAAACTACCTTAACCAAATAGGAATCCACGTAAATTTAGACGTACTTATCTCATGACAAAAACACTCAGGAAATTATAATTTATTAAAAAGAGATGAAAGTTTAAGATTCGTTCGTCATAAATCATAGGAGAATTTAGCAAACAAGCAAAATTTTGGAGAAAGATAATTACTAAAGTACAAGCATCTGACCAAATTTATCAAATATACAAGTTTAGCAAGCTAATACTTTTTTATAAGACTAAAACAAGTACGTGATGAATAGGGCAGGGGAAGCAGAAAGTAGGTACTTATAAACTGGAAATCAACTTCACCAACAGAACTGTCATGATTTTGACTCTCCAAACACAAGGAAATCCTTCACCTTGCTATGTGAAAAACAAAAGCACGAGCAGAGCACAATTACTTTCTTTCATTTAACATGCTTTCAAATTACGAAATAAACTATTATTTATAGGCTTAGAAAGCAAATACAAGCAATCACAAAACTTAAATGAAAAGGAGAGGGAAAGGAGCGGGGTTCAAGGGAGGGGATTCTAGGTTTTGCTTTAAATGGCAATGGAAGCCCCTAAGGTTTCTTAAATGGAGGAAGAAGAGGACCAAAATGGTTCATTGACTGTTTATGAAAGACCAAAATAATCCCCAACTATATTAAAGGACCATTTTGATTCCTCAACTCTTTAAAGAGGAATCAAAATAATCCCACCATGACACTATTTTGATTGCTTTTCAAAAACTTGAGAGATCAAAATAGTCATTTATTATAGTTGAGGATTATTTTAGTCCTTCATAAAGAGTCAAGAGATCATTTTGGTTCTTTTCTCTAAATGATGGTGGAATAGGCTTTGTTTTGTACAATTTAAGCTTTTTTATTTTTGTTTTTAAAAGCTTCTTTCTCAGCCACAGTTTCAAAAATGTGTTTCTAAAAATAGTTTTTAAAGGCAAAAGTTTGAAATAGTAATGAAAAAAGTTATCTTCCAAACACATTATATTTTACTGACTGTTTTTTTGTTTACCACAAAAGAAATTGAAAATCTAACACTGCCGTTGTCAAGTCCCAAGTCCCAGATGAGAAAAGTGGAAGGTTGCGTTAGGTAGTTGACAGCCAGCGTAAAACTTGTCGAATATTAATGACATGAATCCTTTAAGAAATTGTGTTAATGCTAGGGCGTTCCTGGAAGCGACGCGCTGTATGGCCTGAATACAGTGATAAGTGTGCAAGGGCTGCTGCACCGGCGCCCCGGTGCAGTGTTAAATAGGCAAGGGTTCCCACATCAAGGACGAATGTGGGCAAAGAAGCTAGTCCATGATACTAAAAAATATGAAATTAAAATTAGGATAGAAACTTGGAATATAGGTTTCCTTACAGGAAAATTAATGAAATTAATAGATATTATGATTCATAAGAAATTAAATATTTTGTGCATTCAGGAAACTAAATGGGTTGGAGAGAAGGCTAAAGAAATTGATAGTTTAGGATTTAAACTTTGGTATTCGGGAAAGAGTCGTACTAGAAATGGTGTAGGTGTTATTATAGATAAGAATTTGAAAGATAATGTTATAAAAATTAATAGGATTGGATATAGAATTATAGTTTTAAAGATTATTGTTGATGCTAAGATTGTTAATATTATAAGTGCTTATGGTCCTCAAGTAGGTTTGGGTATGAGTTCTGAATTAAATTTTTGGAATGACTTAGAAGAATTAATACAAAAGATACATCTTGAAAAAAGAGTTTTTATTAGAGGAGATTTAAATGGACATGTTGGTAGAGAGGTAGATGATTTTAAAAGCATTCATGGTGGTCATGGGTTTGAAACGACAAATGAATGTGGCAAGATCATATTAGATTTTTGTTTAGCTTATAATTTTGAATTGTTAATATTTTTTTAAGAAAAAGAAGGAGCATCTCATCACTTATAAAAATGGATATAGTACAACTCAAATTCACTATTTTCCTATAAGAAAATTAGATCGTTTAAATTGCAAAGATTGTAAAGTTATTCATAGTGAAAATTTATGTACCCAACATCGATTATTAGTTTTGGACTTTAAGATAAAAGGACAGAAAATAAAAAATAAAGTAAAACGATATTCTAGGATTAGATTGGGGCATTTAAAGAATATTAACAAAAATATTTTTGTAAGTAAGATTTTAGATCTTAAGATTTTGTGTGCGAATGAGGATACTAATATTTTGTGAGAAAAAGTGACTAGTGATATTAAGAATATTGCAAAAGATGTGCTTGGAGTATCAATGGGAAAAGCTCATAATAATAAAAATAATTGGTGGTAGAATCCAAATGTGCAAAAAAAGATTAAAAATAATAAAATTTATTATAAAAATTAGTTTAATTCTAAAAATTTTGATAATTGGGAAAGATATAAAGAGGCTCATAAGGAATCTAAGAAAGCAATATGCGATGCAAAGACCTAAGCTTTTAGTGATTTATACAATAGATTAGATACTAAGGAGGGAGAAAGATATATGTATAAATTAGCCAAACAAAGAGATAGGAATAGCAAGGATTTAGTTCAAGTGAAGTGCATTAAGGATGAAGATCAAAAAATACTTTTCTTAGAAGATGATATTCAACAAAGGTAGATGAGTATTTTGCTAAATTTTTTAATGAAGATTGTGAAAATAAAATTAACTGTAGTGACTTTAGCACCCTAAATAACAATAAAGATTTCTATTTTTATTTGTATATTAGTAAAATCGAAGTTAGAGAGGCTTTAAAGAAAATAAAGGGTGAAAAAGCAATTGGACCTGATGATATTCCAATAGAGGTGTGGAAATGCTTAGGAGATGAAGGAATTTCTTGGATTACTAAATTTTTTAATACTATTTTGAAGGCTAAAAAGATCCCAGATGAGTGGAGAATGAGTGTGTTAATTCCTATTTTTAAGATAAAGGTGTTGCACAAGGTTGTATGAATTATAGAGAAATTAAGTTAATATGTCATACTATAAAACTTGGATGTTCTCACTAGACATTTGCAAGAGGATGTACCTTGGTGCATGCTTTTTGTTGATGATATTCTTCTTGTTGATAAGACTATAGAGGGACTTGAAGGTAAACTTGAATTATGGAAGTCAACCTTAGAGTCTAAAGGTTTTCGCTTGAGTAGATCTAAAACAAAATAAATTGAGTATAATTTTAGTAGTAATAGACCTAGTATGGGGATTGTGACTTTGGGTGATCAAGTCATTAATAAGAGTACACATTTAGATATCTTGAATCTATTGTTTAGAGTGATGGTGAAATAGAGGGTGATATTATCAGCAGAATTCAAGTTGGATGGTTGAAGTGGAGGAATGCATCGGGCATGTTGTGTGATAGAAAAGTACCCCTCAAACTTAAGGGAAAATTCTATAAGATGGTGGTGAGGCCTGCAATGCTTTATGGTGCCAAATGTTGGCCATTAAAAGAGAAGCATAATACTAAGTTAAGTGTGGCAGAGATGAGGATGCTCAGGTGGATGAGTGGCTTTACCCTTAAAGATTGGATATGAAATGAGCATATATGTGATAAGATTGGAGTAGCTCCAGTAGAAGATAAGATTAAAGAGAGTCGCCTTAGATGGTTTGGTCACATAAAACGGCGGCATTCCGATGACCCGATTAGGAGAGTAGAGGTATTAGATTTGACTTATGTTAAGAAAGGTAGATGCAGACCTAAAAAGACTTGGTTAGAAAATATTATGAATGACCTTTCTTTATTATATTTAAACGAAAAATTTGACTTTTAATATAACACAATGGAGGAAAAGGATTCATGTAGCCAACCCCACGTAGTGGGATAAAGGCTTGATGTTATTGTTGTTGTTGTTGAAAAGAAATAAAAAATCTAATCCAAACACATTATTTTTTCCAGACAACCTTGCATGTGGAGGTGGCAAACATCTAATAACAACAACCCATAACCCAACCAAACATGTGACCCATCATTACAAAATAATTCATATCTAATTTTGACACTAACACAAACATAAAATCCTCATTATACATTATAAAAATTCTCAAATACATAAAGGTGGTC